GCGAATGTGCTTGTTTCCTCCTCCGGGTCTATCGTAACCAGGATAAGCAGAAGTTCAGTGTTCCTGCCAAGCCATCACATGTTGCGGTGCCCAGGCTTAACGAATGCGCAGCCTTGCAAGGCAAAGCTTATTCAGCAAGGTCGGATGTAAGCTGCCTTGGGCAATCGGATTTCATGAGTGGGCAATGGGATTTTCGTCTAGCAGGCAATGGTATTTTCCACTAGTGGTTAGTGCAATTTCCACTGATGGGTAATAGGATTCCAGTTGGAGAGTAATGTTTTGATTCAACTCCATCAATGACAATGGCGACCAGGATTCACACAAGTGCTTCATGGGATTTCCACTAGTGGGTAAATGGGATTCCACTGGCTTCCACTAGTGGGTAATGGCTCCACTAGTGGGCAATGGGATTTCCTCTAGTGGATAGTGAAATCCTATTGGTTTCCACCAGCGAGTAAAGGGATCGCCATGAATGGGATTTCCACAAGGGCGGAATGGTAATCGCTGGATTCCAGGTAGTGAGATGTTCCCTAGCCACTAGTGGGTGGGCAATGGGATACAAATGGCCACTGGCATTTCCATGAATGGGGTTATGCGAGCAGCACCCGTGCAACCCACCTGCGAAAGCATCGTGAGCAGAGCCTCTTCACTTCTGCATACAGCCATCGGAGGTTGAGATATTTACTAGCCACTAGCGGGTAATGTTCATTTAATCGGCAATGGGATTCCGCTATTGCGTCATGGCATTTCCAGTGGCTAGCGGGATTTCCACTAGGGGTTAATGTGCATTCCACTGACTCGGCAAAGGTATTCTGCCCGTGCAAAAACCCGTTTCGATGTGCCGCGACACGCTACGAAGGCATCACGAGCATCAGAGCCTCCTCATTATTTCTGGATACAGGCGTCGCAAATTTCTTCTATGAGTATATCGACATGTCGTGTTACTTGTGTGCATCTCTTCTCATGTTCTTCATCATTTTCGTTTTTGCTGTCAGTTTCCTTGTCGTACACCGCACTGCACATGTAAACGGCCGCAAGCACACGTCCACATGATGAGCATGACCCAACCACGTCCGCTAAAGGCGCGAGCATCGCGAGCGGCCCCTAGGAGAGCGCATCAAGAGCCGGCTCCGCGGGCGGAAGTCGTGGACGGCTGGAAGATTCCTCCTAGCCGCAGCCGCCAAAAAATGGAGAGGATCCGTGGCATCAGCCGGCTTAGGGGCCAGGGGGGGGGGGTGACCCAAAAAATGGTGCGGGCTGGCGACCCGCGCTGTGCATGGTCGCAAAGCGGTGCGGATCAGGCGCGGGCACGATTTTTGGTGCGAGCGATCGACCTTCAAGGAAAGCACCGGGAGCCCCAGGCGAGCAAAGGCAGAGCACGAGCATCACTGGTGACTAGCACCCGTGCAACCCGTTTCGACGCGCCGCGACACTCTACGAAACTGGGTGAGATCCCATTGCCCACTGGTTTCCATTCGGAATTAAGGTTTTTTCCATCGCGGGTAATGGAAGGTCATTCCTGGGCAGTGGTATTCCACTGGGTTCCACTAGTGGGTCGCATTGGGATTTTGGCGAGGTTCCTAAAGCCTGCGACTTAGATGCAGAGCCAAGGAAAGAAACTAGAAGACGATTGGCCCGAAAGCATCGATTTGCCGTGTGTTGACTCTATGCACTTCACTCTATGCACTCGAACTGTATGCACTTGGACAATTGTATGCAGTTATATGGTTGCATACTCACTTGCATACTGCACTTGTATGCACTTCAACTGCGTGGCATTCAAGTGTGTTGACTTGAATGCCATGCACTTGTGGTCAACTCTCTTCACATCATTGGAAGTCAATACATCTGAAGATAACGGACTTGAAGTCGACAATTTTCAATTTAATGCACTTGAGCAACTGTAAGAACTTCACTTCATGCACCCGTATGCACCCGACTCGGCTGTGCACGTCCAGTCCACGCGAAGCCATGAAAGAAAAGACAAAAACATCCAACGCGAGAGCCGTCAGCCAGGAGCATCATCGGCAGTAGCTCTGAAGTCCAAGCTCATAGTCCACAGCGCCTTTCAGGAAGCAACAACTCAGCATGCACGCATGTAGAGCGCGAAAGCATGGAGGCACAGAAGCGAAGAGAAACCGAGCTTGCATGTTTTGTCCTCGAGCCTAACATCCCAGGGAACAGGTGAAGCACACCTTTCACAAGACAGCGTGCAGCGCGCAGCGCCGGGCTTGGGCCTGAAGACTATTTGAAATTCGTGGGCCAAGAAATTCAAAAATGTCCCCAGCACTTCAATTCCAAGGGCGTCTCCTCAAGAGACTGGTGGCCGGGGGCTTCTGTCTTGAAGTCCACCAAGAGCTCTACCGGCTTGGTCCAGCCGAGCATGGACTTCCGTGCGTGCCCCACTGCCACAGGCCGCTTGAAGGCACGAACGTGCTGCACGTACCAACCGAACAGTGTCTTGGGCTCCGACGTCCACCAATCATAGAAGCTACCCTGCTCGATCAAGGTATCCGGTCGATGAGCATCGAAGTGGTCGTAATTCTCAAACTCGATGCTGCCCGCAAAACGATGACGCCGAGCACTTGCGCTTTCAATGGAGCGCGAACCATCGCGATGTCCACCATGGCGCCCTGCGTCGAGCCGCTGCCCAGAGTCTCGATGAGGAACAGCTGCTCGCCCGCGGAGAAGCAGCGGTACTTCCCCAGAGCGTACTCACATCCCTCGCCTTGCACCATGAGGAGCCGACTCCACGGATACTGCACGTTTAGCCCGCAAAGAGTCAAAGACTGGCTGCTGCAGGGCGGAGAGGCGGGTGCCTTCAGACTCGCAGCACAGGCCACAAGATCGCCCGAGGTGGAGCACTGGCGAAGACACTGGAAGTCGGCGAGCGCTTTCTTCTTCGACTCCCGCATGTTCTGAATCTCTCCACACCAAAAACGAACTCGAAATCCGTGGCCATGCTTCTGCACGTTCCCACGACACGCAAAGGCCTGCCGGGCTCTTCCACGAGGCGACATGCTGATTCGCTCCAGGAAACAATTGAGCAATGCGGCAGAGGTACTGACATGTCGCATTGCCTGCAATGCCAAAACTGCACATGCGAGGTTTTCTACGCACCGGAATTCGAGTCCCACGATATTTGCGGCAAGAGCGCCTGAATGCCAGGGGAGACTTCCCCGAACGTGTAGTCCAGCTGGAGCTTGTTCGATAGTGATAGCGTCATTGCAAAGAAAAGGACAGAAGAGCGAGGTTGGCAAGAAGACCTTGAGGGTTTCGACACCCCGGAATTCGAGTCCCACGATATTTGCGAGGTTTTCGAGGCCCCGGAATTCGAGTCCCCCGGAATTCGAGTCCCACGATATTGCGAGGGTTTCGACATCCCGGAATTCGAGTCCCACGACATTTGCGAGGTTTTCGACGGCTGTCCTAGAAGCGCGCGCCGGCCCCATTTAGTGCTACCTTTGTACTACAGAGACGGATTTGGAGAGGGGGGCTCGCCTAAAAGCCCGCGCCGGCCCTATTCAGTACTACTTTTGTGCTACAGAGGAGGGTTTTTAAAGCTCAGAAGAGCGCACCGGCCCTGCACAGTACTACTTTTGTACTACAAAGGATTTTTTCGGTCACAAAAATGCAAAAACACGAGGGTTTTAGCACCTCTACCACGCGGAAACCCGCAGAGGAGTTGCGTTTATATGTCAAAGTACGAGGGTTTGGGCGCCGCGACCAGGCCGAACCCCGCAGAGGGTTGACGCACACACACGAAAAAATGTGCAAAAAACGATGGTTTTAGCACCGCAACCACGCCGAAACCCGCAGAGGGTTGTCCCCGCAAAGCAAGAAATGTTTTTAAAAAAAACGACTGTTTTTGCACCGCGAGCACGCCGATACCCGCAGAGGGTTGTCCGCGGCCAGAAAGAAACCTCACAAAACGAGGGCTTTAGCACCGCGACCACGCCGAAACCCGCAGAGGGTTGCAATCCCGATTGACGACGTCAACCCAGCCCACCGCCTTAAAAAGAATAATTTTAATTAAGAAATGTAGGACTGGGTACGAAGGTTTACTAAATTCTATCAAAATCTCGTCGATTCTATTAAATTGTATTAAAATTGTACTCAAATCTCGTAAATTCCAGTCTGTTGTAAGAAAATCTCGTGATTTCTACTCTATGCATTTCACTCTTGCACTAAAATGAGTGGGTAATGGGATTTTCGTTTGCACTTATATGGTTGCATACTCACTTGCATACTGCACTTGTATGCACTTCAACTGCGTGGCATTCAAGTGTGTTGACTTGAATGCCATGCACTTGTGGTCAACTCTCTTCACATCATTGGAAGTCAATACATCTGAAGTTAACGGACTTGAAGTCGACATTTTTCAATTTAATGCACTTGAGCAACTGTAAGAACTTCACTTCATGCACCCGTATGCACCCGACTCGGCTGTGCACGTCCAGTCCACGCGAAGCCATGAAAGAAAAGACAAAGACATCCAACGCGAGAGCCGTCAGCCAGGAGCATCATCGGCAGTAGCTCTGAAGTCCAAGCTCATAGCACCTTTCAGGAAGCAACAACTCAGCATGCACGCATGCAGAGCGCGAAAGCATGGAGGCACAGAAGCGAAGAGAAACCGAGCTTGCATGTTTTGTCCTCGAGCCTAACATCCCAGGGAACAGGTGAAGCACACCTTTCACAAGACAGCGTGCAGCGCGCAGCGCCTGGCTTGGGCCTGAAGACTATTTAAAATTCGTGGGCCAAGAAGTTCAAAAATGTCCCGAGCACTTCAATTCCAAGGGCGTCTCCTCAAGAGACTGGTGGCCGGGGGCTTCTGGTGGACGTCGGAGCCCAAGACACTGTTCGGTTGGTACGTGCAGCACGTTCGTGCCTTCAAGCGGCCTGTGGCAGTGGGGCACGCACGGAAGTCCATGCTCGGCTGGACCAAGCCGGTAGAGCTCTTGGTGGACTTCAAGAGCAATCATAGAAGCTACCCTGCTCGATCAAGGTATCCGGTCGATGAGCATCGAAGTGGTCGTAATTCTCAAACTCGATGCTGCCCGCAAAACGATGACGCCGAGCACTTGCGCTTTCAATGGAGCGCGAACCATCGCGATGTCCACCATGGCGCCCTGCGTGGAGCCGCTGCCCAGAGTCTCGATGAAGAACAGCTGCTCGCCCGCGGAGAAGCAGCGGTACTTCCCCAGAGCGTACTCACATCCATCGCCTTGCACCATGAGGAGCCGACTCCACGGATACTGCACGTTTAGCCCGCAAAGAGTCAAAGACTGGCTGCTGCAGGGCGGAGAGGCGGGTGCCTTCAGACTCGCAGCACAGGCCACAAGATCGCCCGAGGTGGAGCACTGGCGAAGACACTGGAAGTCGGCGAGCGCTTTCTTCTTCGACTCCCGCATGTTCTGAATCTCTCCACACCAAAAACGAACTCGAAATCCGCGGCCATGCTTCTGCACGTTCCCACGACACGCAAAGGCCTGCCGGGTTCTTCCACGAGGCGACATGCTGACTCGCTCCAGGCAACAATTGAGCAATGCGGCAGAGGTACTGACAAGTCGCATTGCCTGCAATGCCAAAACTGCACATGCGAGGTTTTCTACGCACCGGAATTCGAGTCCCACGATATTTGCGACAAGAGCGCCTGAATGCCAGGTCTTTTCTCAGGACTGAAAAAATGGTGCGGGCTGGCGACCCGCACTGTGCATGGTCGCAAAGCGGTGCGGATCAGGCGCTGGCACGATTTTTGGTGCGAGCGATCGACCTTCAAGGAAAGCACCGGGAGCCCCAGGCGAGCAAAGGCAGAGCACGAGCATCACTGGTGACCAGCACCTGTGCAACCCGTTTCGACGCGCCGCGACACTCTACGAAACTGGGTGAGATCCCATTGCCCACTAGTGAAACCCAATGGAGTCCTGCTACCAATGCCCATTACCTACTGGTGGAATCCCACTGCCCACTAGTGGAAATCCCATGTCCCACGAGTAGTCACACTACTGGAAATCCCACTACCCACTTGTGAAGCCAGAGCAACTTACATCAGGGCTTGCCAAAGATGCTTTGCTTGCGGACAAGGCTTGGCCAGCCGCGCATTCGGTAAATCCGGAGCAGGTGCAGCATGAGCATAATGGAAATGCGTGGATCCAAATGGCACCGTTGTGGCTTCCGAGCGTGCGGGACACGGGCCCGCGCGCTGCGGGTCGCTAGCGTGCACAACCTTGTTGTCCGCGGCTGCTACCCACCGAGCCGGCTGATGCCTCTGATGCTCTCCTTTGCTGGCGGCCGCGGCCGGCTGATGCTAATGATGCAGACCTGCGTTTGCAGCACAAATGGGTAGCAGGGGTTTCCACGAGCGGGCAAATTCCATAAGTGGGCACTGGGACTTCATTGGCTTCCCACTAGCGGGATTTCCCGAGTAATGGGATTCCAATCGTTTTCCATTCGCAATTAAAGTTTTTTCCATCGCGGGAAACGGAATGTCATTCCTGGGCAGTGGTATTCCACTGGGTTCCAGTAGTGGGTCGCATTGGGATTTTGGCGCAGGGCTTAAGTTCTCAAAGCCTGCGACTTAGATGCAGAGCCAGGAAAGAAACTAGAAGACGATTGGCCCGAAAGCATCGATTTGCCGTGTGTTGACTCTATGCACTTCACGCTATGCACTCGAACTGTATGCACTTGGACAATTGTATGCACTTATATGGTTGCATACTCACTTGCATACTGCACTTGTATGCACTTCAACTGCGTGGCATTCAAGTGTGTTGACTTGAATGCCATGCACTTGTGGTCAACTCTCTTCACATCATTGGAAGTCAATACATCTGAAGTTAACGGACTTGAAGTCGACATTTTTCAACTTAATGCACTTGAGCAACTGTAAGAACTTCACTTCATGCACCCGTATGCACCCGACTCGGCTGTGCGCGTCCAATCCACGCGAAGCCATGAAAGAAAAGACAAAAACATCCAATGCGAGAGCCACAGCGCCTTTCAGGAAGCAACAACTCAGCATGCACGCATGCAGAGCGCGAAAGCATGGAGGCACAGAAGCGAAGAGAAACCGAGCTTGCATGTTTTGTCCTCGAGCCAAACATCCCAGGGAACAGGTGAAGCACACCTTTCACAAGACAGCGTGCAGCGCGCAGCGCCGGGCTGAAGGCACGAACGTGCTGCACGTACCAACCGAACAGTGTCTTGGGCTCCGACGTCCACCAATCATAGAAGCTACCCTGCTCGATCAAGGTATCCGGTCGATGAGCATCGAAGTAGTCGTAATTCTCAAACTCGATGCTGCCCGCAAAACGATGACGCCGAGCACTTGCGCTTTCAATGGAGCGCGAACCATCGCGATGTCCACCATGGCGCCCTGCGTGGAGCCGCTGCCCAGAGTCTCGATGAGGAACAGCTGCTCACCCGCGGAGAAGCAGCGGTACTTCCCCAGAGCGTACTCACATCCATCGCCTTGCACCATGAAGAGCCGACTCCACGGATACTGCACGTTTAGCCCGCAAAGAGTCAAAGACTGGCTGCTGCAGGGCGGAGAGGCGGGTGCCTTCAGACTCGCAGCACAGGCCACAAGATCGCCCGAGGTGGAGCACTGGCGAAGACACTGGAAGTCGGCGAGCGCTTTCTTCTTCGACTCCCGTATGTTCTGAATCTCTCCACACCAAAAACGAACTCGAAATTCGTGGCCATGCTTCTGCACGTTCCCACGACACGCAAAGGCCTGCCGGGCTCTTCCACGAGGCGACATGCTGACTCGCTCCAGGAAACAATTGAGCAATGCGGCAGAGGTACTGACAAGTCGCATTGCCTGCAATGCCAAAACTGCACATGCGAGGTTTTCTACGCACCGGAATTCGAGTCCCACGATATTTGCGACAAGAGCGCCTGAATGCCAGGTCTCCCCTCAGGACTGAAAGCCCGAACGTGTAGTCCAGCGGGAGCTTGTTCGATAGTGATAGCGTCATTGCAAAGAAAAGGACAGAAGAGCGAGGTTGGCAAGAAGATCTTGAGGGTTTCGACACCCCGGAATTCGAGTCCCACGATATTTGCGATGGTTTCGACATCCCGGAATTCGAGTCCCACGATATTTGCGAGGTTTTCGATGGCTGTCCTAGAAGCGCGCGCCGGCCCCATTCAGTACTACCTTTGAACTACAGAGATGGATTTGGAGAGGGGGGCTCTCCTAAAAGCCTGCGCCGGCCCTATTCAGCACTACTTTTGTGCTGCAGAGGAGGTTTTTAAAGCTCGAAAGAGCGCACCGGCCCTGCACAGCATACTACAAAGGATGTTTTCGGTCACAAAAAAAGACGCAAAAACACGAGGGTTTTAGCACCTCTACCGTACCTACCCAGGAATGACATTCCATTGCCCGCGATGGAAAAAAACCTTAATTGCGAATGGAAACCCCATTACTCGGGAAATCCTGCTAGTGGAAGCCAATGAAGTCCCAGTACCCACTTATAGAAATTCCATTGTCCGTGGAACTTCCTGCTACCCATTTGTGCTGCAAACGCAGGTCTGCATCATTAGCATCAGCCGGCCGCGGCCGCCAGCAAAGGAGAGCATCAGAGGCATCAGCCGGCTCGGTGGGGTAGCAGCCGCGGAAAACAAGATTGTGCACGCTAGCGACCCGCAGCGCGCGGGCCCGTCTCCCGCACGCTCGGAAGCCACAACAGTGCTATTTGGATGCACTAGTGCGTGCTAGATGTTCACTAGTAGGCAATGGGATTTGCATTATGCCATCAAGACGCCAACATGAACTGCTGCACCTGCTCCAGATTTACCGAATGCGCGGCCAAGCCTTGTCCGCAAGCAAAGCATCTTTGGCAAGCTCTGTGCGTGGCGGCCACGCACAGCGCGGGTCGCCAGCCCGTACCATTTTTTGGGTCCCCCCCCCCCCCTGGCCCCTAAGCCGGCTGATGCCACGGATCCTCTCCATTTTTTGGCGGCTGCGGCTAGGAGGAATCTTCCAGCCGTCCACGACTTCCTGCCCGCGGAGCCGGTTGATGCCTTTCTGCGCTCTCCTAGGGGCCGTTCTTGCCGGCCGCTCGGGGCCTATCCCTCCCTTCCTTCATCGCCTCAAAAACTGTACCCTAAACCTTGAATCAAACACTAACCCCGAAGCCCGAAACCCGAAACCCGAAACCCTAAATCCTAAACCCTAAAGCCTAAGATGCGAAAGGTTTCCAAGCCCTAAACCCTAAAAAAAACCTACGCCCTAAATCCCCCCTATTAAAACTGCAAGTCCTAAACAACGCTCCGTACGCGCGTCTTGACGCGCCCGGTTTTTTTGGGCAGCAGAAGGGAAATGGGATTAACTCGGCAGAAGTCTATCATGCTTGCTTGGAAACATCCTTAATCTGCGGACGCAGAATATGTTAATTTCTGCGGCGGGCAAGGGTTGGGAAGGAATGCGTTGTTCTGGGCCTGTTGCCTAAAGGCGTCGAATATTCTGCGTTTTACAGGGTTTTGAAAGGTTGGACACTGTTTGAGGTTTTGGGGAGATAGGACTCAAAATGGCCGAATTTCGGCACTACGTTTCGGAGCATTGTCCACCTCACAGCTCGAGAATCTCCCAGGGAGAAGCCGTGTCCAACTGCTCAAACGGATTCTCTCTCGCCGAGCCGGTCGTTAAAGTAGGCCTGGAAGGTCCTAAACGCATGGTAACATCGACGTAATCATGGCTCGGCCATGGATGCATTGGCCACTCGCACGCATGGGTAACACAGACAGAATCATGGCTCGGCCATGGATGCATTGGCCACTCGCACGCATTGGTAACACGGACGTAATCATGGCTCGGCCATGGATGCATTGGCCACTTGCACGCATTGGTAACACGGACGTAATCATGGCTCGGCCATGGATGCATTGGCCACTCGCACGCATTGGTGACACGGACGTAATCATGGCTCGGCCATGGATGCATTGGCCACTCGCACGCATTGGTAACACGGACGTAATCATGGCTCGGCCATGGATGCATTGGCCACTCGCACTTGTTGGTAACGAGGACGTAATCATGGGTCCATGGATGCATTGGCCACTCGCACGCATTGGTAACACGGACGTAATCATGGCTCGGCCATGGATGCATTGGCCACTCGCACGCATTGGTAACACGGACGTAATCATGGCTCGGCCATGGATGCATTGGCCACTCGCACGCATTGGTAACGAGGACGTAATCATGGCTCGGCCATGGATGCATTGGCCACTCGCACGCATTGGTAACGAGGACGTAATCATGGCTCCATGGATGGCTCCATGGATGCATTGGCCACTCGCACGCATTGGTAACACGGACGTAATCATGGCTCGGCCATGGATGCATTGGCCACTTGCACGCATTGGTAACACGGACGTAATCATGGCTCGGCCATGGATGCATTGGCCACTCGCACGCATTGGTGACACGGACGTAATCATGGCTCGGGAATGGATGCATTGGCCACTCGCACGCATTGGTAACACGGACGTAATCATGGCTCGGCCATGGATG